TACGGAAACGTTAATTATGTTCTGCTGATATGGAGATGTTAGCCTGATCCCTAGGCTGGGAATATCCCCCAGAGAATGAAATGGCGACTCACTCGAGTATCCTTGCCTTGGAAATCCCATGGACAGAGCAGCCTGACTGGGTACAGTCTGTGGAGTCACAAAAGAGTTGGACATAACTTAGTGACTAAACAACAAATGTTACACCCCAGCACTTACTTATCTTAGAACTGGAAGATTATAGTTTTTGAGCACCTTAGTCCAATCCCATTCCCCCAGCACCCATCCTCCACCTCTGGTAACCACTAATCTGATCTCTTTTTCTGTGAGTGTGTTTGAAGTATAATTAACCTATGACACTATATTTATTCATGGTGCATAACACTGTGATTTGATATTTCTATACATTATGGAATGATAACCACAGTAAGTCCAGTTACCATCTGTCACCATAAAAAGATAATATATTATTACTGAATATATTCCTCATGCTGTACATCTCATCCCCAAGACTCACTTATTTTGTAGCTGGAAGTTTGTACCGCTTAATTTTTCTCACCTATTTCACTCGGCCCCCTATCTCCTCCCCTCAGAAATCAATTACTCCTAAGAGTATAAATACCTTTAAGAGTATATATGCTCACAAGAGTATATAGAAAAGTGTACTGTTCGTTTTTATACCCTCGCAGTACTTTTAAAATATTTAGAGATAGTTAAAATAAATCCATACATGTGAAAATGCATAAAAAATATATATATATAACATAGAACAGAAGAAATAAAGGGGGAAGACAGAGGAGAAAGGAAAGAGAGAGAGCGGGAGCAAGGAGGAAAGAAGAAAGGAAGGAAAACTAAAGAAAAACAACAGTGGGAAAACAAGAAAGGCCCTGGGACACATGTTTCTCTTTAAAATTGCTGGAAATTTGGTTCTGAGTTTACTTAGCAGGCAAAGCAAAGGAGAAGCATGACTAGTAACAATACCCACAGAGTTCTAAAAATGAAAAGAGATATGTCTAAAGAGAAGACATCTTCAATTGCTTCAAGACCTGAGAGAAAGCTCTCCCACAGATTTCTGTAATACCTGTAATACCACATCTTCGACAGCACCCAGTAGTCAGCTGCTAGATGTTTCACAACTGATTTGGAGGAGGAGGACTGAATCTGAAGCACTGATAGATGTGTTGCATGCTAAGTTGCTTCAGTCATGCCTGACTCTTTGGGACTCCATGAACTGTAGCCCATGAGGCTCCTCTGTCTGTGGGCTTCTCCGTAAGAATACTGGCGTGGGTTGCCATGTCCTCCTCCAGGGGGTCTTCCTGATCCAGGGATCGAACCTGTGTCTCATGTCTCCTGCATTGGCAGCCAGGTTCTTTACCACTAGCGCCACTTGGGAAGCCTGATAGATGTATTACCTATCTATTTTGTCCATCGACAGATGAATGGATAAAGAAGCTGTGGGGTGTGTGTGTGTGTGTGTGTGTGTGTGTGTGTGTGTGTGTGTATCTAGAGCCTATTTGTTTCCTGTCAACTTTGGGTAATTAAAAAAAATGGCTGAATATCCCCAGACTTTATAATGAATTTCCCATGGTTGTTTCTTTTTTTATCTACTTTATTTTTAAACTTTTTTTTTAATATTTATTTTGGCTGCATTAAGTCTTAGTTGCAGCTTGGGGCTTAGTTACCCTGAGGCATGTGGTATCTTAGTTCCCAGACCAGGGATCGAATCTCCATCCCCTGCATTGGAAGGCAGGTTCCTAACCACTGAACCACCAGGGAATTCCCAGCCCATGGTTGTTTCTTCAATATTCCTCAACAAAGGCTAATTGTACAACACCAAAGAAGAATTCAGTGAAAGTTATTTGATGAAAGGCCAAATCAGTGTAGGGAATACTGGACCAGAAGTATTAAATGGTACATTTTAACACATGTCTTCAATACACTGGATGGCTGCAGATGAATGGCAGAGAAAGGAGTGGAGTTTGAGCCAGCACTTCGAGACTGATACCTCATCGGGACTTCACTGGTAGTCCAGTGGCTAAGACTTCGAGCTGCCAGTGCAGGGGGGTGATCCCACATGCCACATAGCACAGCCAAAAGATTTAAATTTTTTGTAATTTTTTTTTTTAAAGACTGATGCCTCCTAGCTGTGCCATAGACACACACAGTGAGCAGCTTCAGCAACCCAGGTATGTTGCACCATGAATGCTTTCCTCTAAGGAGAAAGGAAGTCTGAGAAGAAAGACTTGAGGTTACTGATATGGACAAAGAGATGGAGCAAAGATCCTTTAAATATTCTTAAGTGTAAGTATAGTTAAGCCCCTGAGCTTGATAAGACCTGGACTAAAGGGAATTCCAGAAGCCTGAAAAATGAAATGTCTAGTCAAATGGATGCAGGAAGGTATAGTTGTTGTCTTCTTAAGAAAGTTAAGAAACACCACTGCCTGTCCAGAGGACCACTTTACCCGTGCATCAAAGTCTGCTGAGCTAATGTACCTCATCACTGCAGCACCCTGCTGTGGACATAGTGAAAGTTGCTCAGTCACATCCAACTTTCTGCGATCCCATGGACTGTAGCCTGCCCATCCATGGAACTCTCCAAGCAAGAATACTGGTGTGGGTAGCCTTTCCCTTCTCCAGGGGGATCTTCCCAACCCAGGGATCAAACCCATGTCTCCTGCATTGCAGGCGGGTTCTTTACCAGCTGAGTCACAAGGGAAGCCAAGAATACTGGAGTGGGTAGCCTACCCCTTCTCAAGTGGATCTTCTGACCCAGGAATTGAGCCAGGGTCTCTGGCATTGCAGGTGGATTCTTTACCAACTGAGCTATCAAGGAAGCTGTGGACATAGCTGTAATCTAAATGTCTCTCTGGAATGGAACATGAAAATGTTCAAATGAATCATACATTTGAAGAAAACAGTCTCAAAATAATTTAATTCTGCTACCACAATTTCATTGACTTTACATGTTCCTTTACTTATAACAGACATTCAAAGCAATTTACCCTAGAGGATTTTAAATCAGCTGTCCCTTAGAGTACTATCAACTTAGATTAATTGAAGTAACAATAGTTTATCAACATGAAGACATTTTGAGGATGGAGGAGTCAACATCAGACCCAATCAACTTTAAGGAAATATTAAAAGCCAAATTTACAGAACAGAGAAATTAGTGGGGTATAATTTACATTTCTACAATTATTCCTGACTTCACAAAGCATCCACTGCAGAAATCCTTCAAACAGTAGATTGCACTTGTACATTTGAAATATTAATTAACTTACAAATACAACATTTTTAGGACATTTATGGTGTTAATTTAGGAATATTGCAATCAATAAAACCTAACTCGTCTACAAGTAAACTGATAGAAAAGAAAGCTTCTAAGTATAATATGCGATACCAGAAGACTATTATGCCCACTATTATTGCAGTATTTCTATTGTGCATACCAGGGAAAAGCACTATATTCAGTACCAGAAGTCTGGAAACATGGATTCTAATCTCAGTTGACTCATTAACTAGGAATTTGGCTTGAAGCAAAATCTCTGTATGCTCCAGTCTCTTTTACTAAAAAAGAGAAATAAAAATATGAGAAAACAGAAGTAAAAACAACATATACATCCAAGTGGCACCAACTTTTCCCTTCTCAAAAATGGCAGACTAGGTTATTTGAGATGAAATCTTACTTCCATAAAGCATGATAAAACCTGGATAAAATTAAACAAACATTTATTTGAAGGCATCAGAAAGTGATCGAGACAGTGAGGATTTGAAAGGCTAAGATCTTACAGAGAATGGGGAATACATGTAAAAAAAAAAAAAAAGATACACTATGGTTGTGATAAAAAAAAATAATAATAAATAAATAAATAAATAAATTTAAAAAAATAAAAAAATAAACCAAAAAAAAAAAAAAAAGAAACCCAGTGAGGTAAATTGGCATTTGGCACTTTTCCTTTTGAAGGGCTTCCCTGATTAGCTCAGTTGGTAAAGAATCCAGCTCTTATGCAGGAGACTCCAGTTCAATTCCTGGGTCAGGAAGATCCCCTGGAGAAAGGATAGGCTGCCCACTCCAATATTCTTGGGCTTCCCTTGTGGCTCAGCTGGTAAAGAATCCTCCCGCAATGCAGGAGAACTGGGTTCGATCCCTGGGTTGAGAAGATTCCCTGGAGAAGGGAACGGCTACTCACTCCAGTATTCTGGCCTGGAGAATTCCAGAGTCCACTCAGGAGAAAGGGCCCCGGTAAACACTCCAGCCTTTGAGTTGAATTTGAGCAAACTCTGGGAGACGGTGAAGGATAGGGAAGCCTGGTGTGCTTCAGTCCATGGGGTTGCAGAGTTGGACATGACTGAACGACTGAACAAGAAGTGCTGAAACTTAGGACTGCGTGCATGCGTTCTAAGTCGCCTCAGTCGTGTCTGACTCTTTGCAGGCCCATGGACTGTAGCCTGCCAGGCTCCTCTGGCCCTGGGCTTCTCCAGGCAAGAATACTGGAGTGGACTGCCATACCCTCCCTCCAGGGTATGGCAGGTACATCCCGACCCAGGGGTTGAACACATCTTTTATGTCTCCTGCACTGGCAGGCAGGTTCTTTGCCACTAGTGCCACTTGGGAAGCTCAAACTTAGGAATATGAACTCCAAATTGAAGAACCCTCACAGAAACTGAAGCCTAAGCTTTGAATCTGCTCAATGAATGGATTAAATGAGATTATACATTCCTAGGCTACCTGTACACTAGAAACAAATGTAAATCTTCTGTCAAGTAAGATATGGTCCAGAGACTGAAATTATCTCTATAAATTTTATAAACAACGACCAGCATTCAATGAAAAGTAACATGGCATGACAAAAAGTTAGCTAAATATCAAAACAATAAAAGACAATAGAAATAAACCCTTAGATGACATAGATGAATTTACGCCATCCATGATTTTACGCCAGTCCATGAATTTATGCTGCCAAGCCTTTGTAAACTCAGCGCCCAAGGGGTATCCAAGTGGATTACTGGTGCCCCTGCGACTGGAGCCGGTGCGGCGGGCCTTGTGTGCACACGCACTGGTGGCGCTGGAGTTGGGGTTTATGCTGCAGCTCCCCCAGCAGGTCTAAGTGCACCACCACTGCGGCCCTCGTACCTGACGCCGGGGGGTCTGTGACGCTGGCTTTGTGAGTACGGAGCCTGAGGGACACCGAGGCAGCTGCTGGCATTCCCGTGGCTGCGGTGGAGCAGAGGGCAGTGCCAGCAACAGCGAGCCCTGTGAGTTCACACAACAGGTGGCAGGCAGCACCAGGAAGCCACCCCTGGTGGACTGCTCTCGCCAGCAACACTCAGCAAGGGGCTCCTCTCCCAGCAGGCATCTCCAGTCCTGCCAACTCCACATCTCTACTCAGAAACAGACCCAGGGGCTTCTCTTCCATCAACTGGGGAGACCCTGTCCCTGACGGGTCTGTGATGAACAGAACAAAGAGGAGGCATTGGTCACCATGACACCAGTCACACCCTCTATCAAGGAAATAATAGGACACACCACACACAGACATGGCAGGCATCCATGCTAAGAACAACCCCCAAATCAAAAATATTACACCCAGGCAGGCTATGGAAGGACACTCCTACATAAAAACAGCCCTTCAAGAACACAGTGGATAACTGTTTCTCCTAAACTCACAGAGTCAGAAAATATAAGTGAAATGAAGAAGCAGTGGAACCACTCCCAAAAGATCAAGAGAATTCCCCTGAAAGAATAAACAGTGAAATAGACCTTTGCAGTCAACTACACTCCAAGTTCAAAAAGGAGGTAATAAAAATATGGAAGGAATTAAGAAAAGGCAACCAATAGAAATGCAGATTACCGTACAAAGGAAGTACAAATTATAAAGAAGAGCCAAGTAAAATTAGAAAACTCTTTTGCTGAAACAAAAGCCGAATGATAGGTGATAAACAGCAAACTGGTTAATGCAGAAGAATGAATAAGTGATTTGGAAAATAGAATAATGGAAATTGCCCAATTAGAACAGCAGACAGAAGGACAAATTTAAAATGAAAAAAAAAATACAAAACATATGGAATAATATAAAGCTGCCAATATATACATAATAGGGATCCCAGAAGGAGAATAAGAAGAAATGGAGATTGAAAACAGATTTGGAGAAGCTACAACTGAAAATGCCCCAAACCCAAAGAAGAAAACAGATATCCAGGTAGAAGAAGAACAGCGATCTCAAACCAGATGAACCCAAACAGACCTGCAACAAAACAGGTTATAATTAAAATGGTGAAAGCTAGAGACAATTCTACAGACAGCAAGAGAAAAACAAACACTAAAGTACAAATGAACTCCCATAAGGCTATCAGTTGATTTCTCTACAGAAATGTTCCAGGCTAGAAGGAACAGCAAGATACATCCAAAGTCCAGAAAGGAAAAAAAAAAATCTTCAACATAGGATACTCTACCCGTAATATTATGGATTAGAATAAAAGGACAGATAAAGCATTTCTCAGACAAGCAAAAACTAAAAGAATACAGTAATATTAAATGCATATTAAAATAAACATTTATGGTTGTCTCGAAACACAAAAGAAGCAAGAGTCTATAGGAAAGAGAAAAACAAACTTGGCAAGTAAATCTCCAAATAAACCAGTACACAGATGAAAAACAAAAAACTGGGGGGAGAGAGTAATGATAACTATAGCAAATGACAAAAGATAAACATGAAATGTAAAAGACAGCAAAAAATCATAAAATATTAACAGGAGAGTAAGGAAATGTAGGTGTTTTTTAAGAATATGTTTGAGGGTCTACCACTTTAACACAAGAAGATATAGTAATAAGTTAACATACTTTAAAAACAGGGTAACCACAAATCGAAAACATAAAATATATACACAAAAACCAAAGGAAAGAGAATAAGAGCATACTATAAAAAAATTATCAAACCACAAATATAAAACAAAATGAAAAGGAACAGTAAAAAGAAGAACTAAAAAATCAATTGGCCCTAATGGGGTAAGAAATTAAAAAAAAAAAAATTAAAACACAGCAGACCTTCAGGAAGCAAATATATATAGCGCATAGTGTAGTTATGCTTGTTTAAAACACTTGGAAAGAAGTTCCACATCACTTACACGAGAAATGAAAATGGAAACTACAGTGAGGTAGCACCTCACACCAGTCGGAAGGTACATGTTCAAAAAGACCACCAAGAGTAGTTTGGGGAGAACGGACACATGGAAATGTATGGCTGAGTCTCTCTGTCGTGTACCTGAAACTATCACATTGTTAGTCAGCTGCAGTCCAGTATAAATAAAAAAGGTTTTTTTTAAAAAAAAAGACTATGGAGAGTAAATGGGGGGACAGCCTGGAGAAAAGAGAAGCCTTCTTCGATTTCAGGGGAAATGTAAATTGGTAGCAGTCACAATGGAAAACTGTATGGAGGTTCCTTAAAACACTAAAAATAGAGCAATAGAGCACGTGATCCAGCCTCCTCTCTCCTGGATCTCTACGGGGAGGAAAACCTGTACTATGAAAACACATGTGAACCCCAGTGTTCCCTGCAGCACTACTTACATTAGTCAAAAAAAGGACACCCAAAATGTCCATGGAAGATAGATGGATCAAGAAGGTGTGATGTGTCTATACAATGGAATATGACTCAGCCATAAAACTAAAGGCACAAGCTAATGCCTTTGTCAGCAGCATCGTTGGAGCTGGAGATGATCGTACTGAGTGAAGGAAGTCAGACAGAGAAGGACGGACGCTCAGGATGTCACTTATGGGTCAAACCGAAAGCTCAGTACAAGTGAATGCATCCAGAAAACAGAAACGGATTCAGAGACCTAAGGAAAGAAACTTCCGGTTATCAAAGGGGAAAGGTGGGTTGGGGAGGATGGAGAAGTTAGGGGGCTGGGTTTAACATAGACACAGTAACATGTGAAAAACAGATAACCCACAAGGACCTACCGGATAGCACCGGGGACTCAATACTCTGTAATAATACAGGTGCATATACGTGTGTGTTTAACTCAATCAGGCTGCTCAACAGCCAAAACAAACACCACTTTGTAAATCCACTCTACTCCAGTGTACAATAATAATTAAATTTAAAGAAAAACAACAGAAAAGAAATGCTGATGGTATTCCACAGGCCTCGATCACCTGGATTGGTGTTACATCCCTGGAGCCTGAGCAGCGTTGGGTCCCAAGGTTGAACTGGGGCGCAGCTGAGCTGAGGGGGCTACAGAGGATGTGCCAGCACTGGAGCCCCACTTGGATGTGGAATGCCTGATTCCCTGTGGACGGGACCCCAAACTCCAGATCCAGGAGGGCCCTCCTATAGCTCAAGCAAGAATACCGCATTACTGCCTATTGCCCTCAAGCACTCCTACAGCCCCCAGCATAGGTGTTTCAGCGTGACTTGGGATATGTCTGAGGGTACAGGGGAGCAGGGGAAAAGCAATGACCCGGGAGCTCTGACATTTTCCACTGCAACTTCCAGGCCAGGACTTTGTCTAAGGCTCCTGTTGCCCAAGGAAACCGCCTGGGGCATGACGAAGTGCTGCTTCCTCGTGGGCATTTTCTGTAACAACAATTTGAAAACTGGAGCTTATGGTCACTTCATATTCACAAAGCCTGTGGGGCTGTAAAGGACACATGACCTCAAGCAGTGTCCTGCCATATGCAATCAAAAAAAAACTCAAAAAACAGCAGACCTTCAAGAACCCAATCTCAAGAGGTCAATTTAACACACTCTGTTTTTGTTGTTTGGACCACTTGAAAAAACATTCCACATAATTTATTATGGGATAACTGAAAGTGGAAACTTCAGTGAGACACCACCTCACACCAGTTGCAAGACACATCCTCAAAAAGACTACAAAGAGTAGTTTGGGAGAGAATGGACACATGGAAATGTATGGTTGCGTCTCTCCACTGTGCACCTAAAGTGATCACAACATTGTTATTCAGATATACTCCAGTATAAACAGTCAATAATACTTTTTAAAAAAAATACTACAAAAAGTAAATGGGTGGGTGAGACGGCTGGAGAAAAGAGATTCTAGGGGAAATGTAAACTGGTAACAGTCCCAGTGGACAACAGTACGGAGGTTCTTCAATAAAAAAAAAAAAAATAGAGCGACCTCATGGTCGGGTCTTCTCACTCACGGGTGTCAATGAGGAGGAAAAACCGTACCTCAAAAACACACATGCACCCCAACGTTCCCTGCAGTACTATTTTCGTTAGCCAAAAACTGGAGCACCCAAGGTGTCCACAAAAGATAGATGGAACAAGATGCGGTATGTCTATACAATGGAATACAACTCAGCCATAAAACAGGATGAAATGACTAATGCCTTTGTCAGCAACATTGATGGACCTGGAGATGATTGTACTAACTGAAGGCAGTCATATAGAGCAGGACAAAAAACCTAGGGTTGAACTGAAAAATCCATTCAAATGAATGCATCTACAAAACAGAAAAACTCACAGACTTAGAAAAAGCTTTTTTTCTGGTTAAAAAGGAGGAAAGGTGATGTGGAGGGAGGGATAAGTTAGGAGGTTGGGTTTAGCGTATACACAGTAATATATGTAAAATAGATAGTCCACAGTGACCTACTATCTAACACAGGGGACCCTACTCAAAACTCTGTAATCGCCTAGATGGGAAAGGAATGGAAAGATACAGATACATACATGTATCCATGTAACTGAACACACTGCTCAACAAGCAAAACCAACACCACACTGTAAATTAACTCTATTCCAGTATACAGTAAAAAATAATTTTAAAGAGAAAACAACAGAAAAGAAACGCCAGTGGCATTCCCCCCAGACCTCGATGACCCGCGCTGGTGTCCCATGCCTGGAGCCTGAGCAGCGTTGGGTCCCAAGGATGGACTGGAATGGGGCTGAGTTGAGGGAGCTGTGGAGGATGTGCCAGCAAAGGAGCCCTCCTTGGAGGTGGAATGCCTGGTCCCCTGTGGATGGGACTCCAGATCCAGATCCAGGCGGGCCCTCCTACAGCTCAAGCAAGACTACCGTACTAAAGGATTTTGGACACTTGAGCCTGAAAGAGCTTTGAAAAGTGCCCCCATCGAAGTAGAACAGCACGCTCAGCATCACTGTCTCCGCAGAACTTGGCATTTGTCCGGCAGGTGCAGGGAGGTGGGAAGAAGTGACGACACAGGGGCCCTGGCGTTTCCCACTCC